TCCCTGGTGGCACAGCGGGTTAAAGCACTGCACTAAGAAGCTAAAGCCACTTCCGCATGAGTTCGATCCCCGCCTGCCCCGGAGGCGACCACATGGCGTGGCAGACCTCTCCTGACCCACCTGCTGCTCACCTCAGCAGTGTACTTCGTCGATCTGCCTGTTCTGCTTCCCGCTCAGTCTCTGGTGAATCCTCTCACCTTCCGCATCTCTGGCCTATACCCCAGTTCTGTACGAATAAATATAATAAATCTTAAATCTTAAAAAAAAAAAAAAAAAAAACCACATGCAAGCCACTTGGCCTGCCAGCACAGTCATGACAGAACAAAGCGAAGTGAAAGTAAGTGTGAGGGTGCAGACGCAGCGGGCCCTCGTGTACATGGCTGGCGGAGGCACCAGCTGGCCCGCAGTGCCATGCCTAGGTGGAGCCAGCACGTGTGATGGCCGGGGTTCAGCGGGCACTCGTGCTGGGGTCCATGGGGTGCTGCTCACAGGGGCCCAATGTGAAAAGTGTTCTTGAACTGATAGCAGGATAACAAATCAGGATCTCTCCATACAATGGAATATTACTTGGCCATGAAAAAGGGGTGGGCCCAATACAGGCTACCCTGTGGACAGAAACAAGATGCTAAGTGAAAGGACCCACAGAAAAGCAACCCCATACTGTGTGATCACTTCTATGTGGCATCAAAACCTGAGAATTCCATAGAGGCAGGACATAGCTTAGTGGGGACTAGGCGCAGAGGAAGGGCGGGGAGCGACTGCTAAGGCGTACAGGATTCCTTTGTAAATACCCCCAGATTCATGGCTGTGATGGCTGCAGGCCACGAGCTGGCCTCTGCGAGGCGGCTGCCGTCTGGGCCGCGTCAGCCCAGTGAATAGGAGCATCAGCGGGAACCAGAAGTATCTGCCTCCCACCAGGCTGTTGTGCCGTCGAGCAGGTAAGTCACGGACGTGAGCGTGCAGAGCTGTCACTCTGCACACGCCTTTTTGTGTGAGGCACGGCAGTTTTGATCATTTGTGGCCGGGAGATGTAAAACTGACACCCAGAAACTACTGCCCGAGGAGAGTGTGCCCAGCAGGCAGGAGTGTCCAGGACAGCCCGCCGGACAACGGCCTGGGAGTTTTGAGAGACTGGAGGACATGTTACCATGAGAGCGTGATTCTAAGTGGCCTTTTCCTTGCTTCTGGCCTTGTTCCAGCCACGAACCTGCCCTCTCCTGCCAGGAGGTGTGGGGGGGGCCGTGTGGCTGGGGCCTGGTGGCCACCCCAGGAGCCACCAGCACCTGTACGAGGGTAAGGGCCCCCACAGGCCTTGCCACCTCCCCCAGGCCTGGACGCGGGCTCTCCCGCCTTGTTGGTGCCAAAGCTCAGGCCGCCGTGACCGTGTGCAGCTGTCCACACTGTCCACCCAGGCCTCACCGGGGGATGCAGGTGGGTGCGGGAGGCGAGGGGCTAGGCGCCCAGGAGTGGCTGGCGCCCTGCTCCCTGCTGGGCCGGCTCCCCAGGGCCCTGGCCGCCTGGGTCCTCGCTGCTGCCCAAGCTCCGCCCAGGGCCAGCAGCCCTGGGCTTGCTAGGCCAACTGACCGCTGCCCACTCTCCCCACCTGTCCGCTCCCTCCTTGTTCTCAACGCTGAGACGCTGCAGCGCCTGAGCCTGGCCCTAAGCTTCCTCCTCCTCCTCCTTGGTCTCGGGGCCCAGGCCCCCCCCCACCACTGGTTTCCTTGGAAACAGGCAGGGGCTGACACCAGGGTCCGCAGGACGTTGACCTCCAGGTGTGTCCTGGTATTTTGGGGATAGAAAAGGTGCTGTGTCCAGCACACGGGCCGCGCGCACCAGCATTTACTTTTGCCTCTTCCCAGGTTTCCGAAGTCCCAACTGTCTGCGGGCTGCGCTGGCTGGACCCCAGCAGGGCGGCCCTGTGCCTAGGGCCCTCGCCACACTGCTGGCCAGGGACAGCAGTGAGGGCTCCCTCCCGTGTGGGCAGCGGTTGCGGTGCTGCGGGGGCGGTTGCGCCCCCAATCTCCTCCCGCAGACGTTTTCCTATTTCTGAGAGCTGGGGCCGCGGGACCCACCGCCGGTCAGGCGCGGCTTCTCAGCACGGCCGGCCCCAGCCCTCCCAACCCAGAGCAGCCAGGCCCGGCGCCGGAGCCTGCGGCCAGGCCCGCCCCGGAGAAGAGGG